ACGACAGACAAACATGACATTTCAAGGTCAATCTCACTTAACCATACTGTTTCACTTGTACAATCTGTACCTACCAGTCCACTCGAATCGCCATCAAATACATGAAATATTGTGTACATGTTACGAAAGTTAATTAAAAACCACGTGCATTCTGTTATGTCACTCAATCTCTTTTTATCGTATCAACAAAACTAATCAATCATTTTATCAGTGAATTTAAAGCATATGTTTTAGGTACATAGCATCCTCTGTCAAAACTCCACGACCGTTGAACATATCGATGGTCGAGAAAATACAACGAATTCGCCATGCTAATCGGACACACGCGCCTCAGTACTATCGCAATAATTGGTTTAGCTATCGTAAAGTTAGAATTTCGTAAATTGTTTGACATTCTAAACTGTTGCACTACAATAGAAATTTTCATTGAATAATTTTTTGCTAGTTAATTTATTTTGTTTTTTTTCTAAAGGTAGCATTTTTGGAAGTTACTTTGCAGCAAAACAAAAATAGGTGTGCGAAAATACCACTGAAATTATCTTTTGATCCAGTAACCTCCAAGCAGGTTTATTTCTTGTTTTATTATTCTTTTTATTATCAATCTTCAATTATTACCAACCTTTAATACTTATTACCAATCTTTAATATTAGACAATTAAAATTTTCAAACTTAAAATTGTCTTTCAAAACTTTCAATTTCCCATGTAGCATTAGTGAAGTTTTTAGTTTGGAGGTTGAAAAATAAAATATTTATTTACATAGCTTATTATGATTTTAAATCATTTTATCGCCTTGACAACTTCATATCGATTTTTTTGTTGGTCTTAGGGAAAGAAATAGAAAATAATAGTAGAGTTTGTGTCAGATTTAATGAATTGACTTATTCATTCCCACTAAAACGAAATTATTTATTAAAGGTTAATTCCAAATTTTAGTTATTTTTTGTATTGAATGGAAAACCTTCGCGAATTTATCGAGCGCTATTGAATCCTTTTCGCCAACGGACCATCGAATCACTGTTGGAAGAAATTTCGGAAGGTTTGCAGGTGAAAAAAAAAAAACTTCATTACGAGGAGAATGGCGCACTTTTTGATATTACTCAGTAGTTATTGAAAAACATGACTATTTGAAAGGCACATATTAACTCAAATCAGATGTCGCATCCATCCGCTGTTACGTTGTTGTTAATTTAGGATTGGAAAAGTTGTGGTAATAAAGCTATTCCTCCAAAAAATCGTACCAAATCTTTTAGAACTTTCGTATCATGTAGATTTTAGATGGCAATTTTCAAGCTGTATACTTATTCTGGCAAGAGGATAATAAGTATGGATGAAATTTTTTCACTAAGTGAAACTCGGCTGCTTGCTGTACCAAGGAATGAACGACCTATGTTTCGGGAAAACATATTTCCAATAGGTGTATCACAATTACCGCCGATTTCAAGGATGGCGCCACCAAGCCTTCTGAGAGAGTCTACTACCGGTTAACTTTTATTAAATGAAGTTCGAAAGCCATGCTAAACAACATTTTAAATTTAGCATTCCAATTTTCGATATTATGTGAAATCCACTCTACATTGGCTCCAAGATATTATCAATTACTTTTTCCTATGCGGAAAGATTCATTATGATTAAAGTAAATTATGTTCCAGCAAAGCAAGTAATCCAATCCATCTACCGAGAGAACTCAATTGAGCGACCTCAACGAGTGCTTAGCAACAGCAAGATGATGTCCTTAACTTCGATGTCTCGGTTGAATAGACGAGAGAACAACAAGTCAAAGAATGTTCCATTAACAAATAAAATGAAAAAATGTTCGTCTTTTTGAAAATATTCAAAATTCATCCTCAAGCAGAAAATTATGCGGTATGAAAATTTGCAGAAGTCATTAAATTTCTATTAAATTTCAGTCTCCCTGGAAGCTTCACAACATCTTCCAGCTTTACCAATCTTACAAAGGTCACCGGAAGTTTGCGAAAAAGCGACAGTGCTTCAGAATGTCGAAGGTTGTTGTGACGAGGTTAACGAATTTACAGCAAGTGATATTAGAACGGAAGAGTCATGTGGAAGTAAACTAACAGAACCAGATAATGAAGCGGTTCAGGAAGCGGAAGATGTGAAACGGGACGAAAGAAATGCAGAAGAAAATAAAGCAAGTAGGACAAGAAATGGAAAAGAAGAAACGGAGAAAGAAGAGTTGATACAAAATAATGAGGAAAGTCAGATTTCGGAAGAGTTTTTTGATTGAAATTTCATTCTGAAGCAATTCTAATTGATTCAGCTTTCATTTTGAGGCAGAAGTGACTGATTGAACTTCAATTTTGAAGCAATTGTAGTTGAAGAAATTGAAACAATGGAAGAAGGAGAGGCAAGCACCACGATAACTGAACAGTTTGATCCGGCAGAGAAAGAAGTTCCGGAACTGATGCTTTCAATATCTAATGATCGGACATCTGATAACAATGAAACAACAACTACATCTGTTCCTAAAGCTGATTTTTCGCTTAGTGCTAAAGAAAACGGTCTGTTAGATAAGAATTCAATACACGGCACTTTGATTTGTTACCTAAAGAACTATTGTCTTCAACAAGTCTTGTCCAAAAACCAATCAACACTACTATCCTTTCACATTCCATCATTCCCCATTAGTTCATTGGTATTCAATATCACTGCTTAAACAATATCATATTACTAAAAAAGTTATCTTTCAGGTATGACTTATACTGTATCGGTAATTACTGGAAATCGTTGGGCGGCTGATACAGATCTCGATTTGTTCATTATTTTATATGGCGACTTAAATAAAAGCGAGAAACATCTACTACGACAAGATGTGAGCTAGTTTCGTTATCTACGATAGATCAGATCAAATCAGAGCAGACAATTGCTTGATGGAAATTGTAAAGTGTTATATGATCAGTTAAAGCTGATCAATTTACTTATTGATTAACCAAACAAATAAGTTATGAACGAAAACCAATCAATAGTAGTGTTGTATCACAACATTATAAGAGCAAAAATTATATTGGCAGTACCAAACAAATTTTATGATTAATAAATATATCATTCATTACAATCATTGGAATCAATGATCTTTGAATGCTAACAATGCTAATAAATTTGATCCAATTTATTCAAAAAACTAACTGGCGGTGCTATTTGCTAATAGGACGAATTCATATTTGAATTTACTTTTTATTAAAGGTGGTGGGAAAAAGACTGGACATTTCCAACAATTCCCAATTGAAACGTCATCTTTTCAGTATATAAATTGGTTGCAGACACATGAACCAAAATTTCAACAGAATAGAATGGATTCCTTTCATATTGAAACGACGAAACTTGGCTTGCTTCAAAAAATTGTTGTCGGACATGATCATATTGGTTACGGTATGTTCTTTTCATGCTGCTTTAATTAGGCATATTTTTCTGATTTAAAAAGAAATTTGCTGAATATTTCAATCCGAAGTTTTAGTAAGTTCTAAGAATTTCGTAGTGAAAGTTGAGAAGTTCAGGAGTCGGGATATACATTGAACGTATTCTGGTCACTGAAAATATTGCTGATGGACGGCAATATCTTTTCCAGTGCGCCAAATGGTTGGACAGTGGTCAAGTGGATGGAAAAATTGAACGGACACTGAAGACAACTGCTTTTTGCTACCTTACCACTATCTTATACGATTCTAGATCTACAAGTAGGGTCCGCGACAAAGAGTCCAAATCTAAGTTTGAAAAGTTTTCCACATGTAGATAGCAACTTCTTGGTTTGCGTATTTTACTGATTAGCTTGTTTCTACCGTAGGTTAAATCTCTTTCAGTATTAAACAAAAATACAAATTTTTATGATATAATTTTGAGTCACGAGCAGAAGTGGAAAATGTTTGTATAAACTGAAGAAAGTATGAATCACTAGTTTTGAAAAACTTGTCAATAAACACACATATCTGATGCATGATTGAAATGATAGGATAACAGTTAAGATGTTATCTGCGTGAGATATTTGCATAATGCAAGAACTAACATTATTTTTTTGTAGGTGGTCGTTGGGAACTTATCTTGCATTCTGGCAAAGATGATGGTAGTGGTGCAACTACATCAAATCTGAACATTGTTGGTTACGGTAGCCAAGGTTGTTCGATGACAACAAAAATTTATGACAATCGCATGGCGAAGGTGCCATCAGCATCACTTGTGCAAGTAAATTTTAGCTATTTTTTTTCTATCTTCCATTGTGGTGATTTTGAAGATCTCGCGATACTCAATTAATTATATCTAATTAATTGCCCTTGTCCTTTCTTTGCAAAATTCGCCTTCCGACTCTGAAATCTTTTTATTCAAAAAAAAGTCATTCAGACACAGTGTTTGAATAACTTCTTTCGATACTTCAAAAGTTATTTAAAAATTTACAGGTGGATTTCGGTGAAATTGGTGATCTGCTAAAGGTGAGAATTGAAATCGATGGGAATGGTGAAATGCCGAATTACTACTTGAATTATGTTGAGCTCAGAGATCTGGATACCGAAGAACGCATGGTATCATATGTAAGGAAATGGTTGAAGATAGGCTGTGATGAGAAGAATGCGCAGCCATTCCGAGAATTTCCAGTTTTCCGAGCAGCTTTTGAACCTTTGAAAGGTAATTTTTGTTTATTATAATGAATTATTTAAAAGATAGTATATCGGGTCTGTTATGATATAGAGAAAAAAATTTCCGGGAGATGATAACTCCAAGTTATTTGTTACCAAAAGTCTATTTTAATTAGCTGTTTGCAAACTTCTATTGTGTTTCTTATTTTGCAGTACTGTCTTACGAAGGAAAAATTAAGCTAAGTTCACGGAAACAGCGATTTCTAGAAAAACCTGTAGTATATGTGAGGATATTTGGTGAAATTGGTGAAACAGGTCGTTTCCCTGTTGATTTCAGATGTGCTTCGGATTTGAAGCGGGTAAGTTTATTTTATTTTTCTATGCTCAACAACTTTTTCCAGTAAACAAAATTAAACTTGTAGATTTTGAATAATTTTTAGTCTTGCACAAGTGATCAAAAGTTTGTCTGTACTATGAAATGTCATTTCACTTTTTCTTATAAGTAATAATTAGTATTCATGATTTTCACAAATTCTTTTTGTCAACATCCATAACATGTTATTTAGGAAATTTCATTCAAATCTGAAGCTGTTTCGGTTGGACGTATACAAAGTACGCGATTATATGTCAAAATGAATGACATTGGTAAATTTGTATTCTCGTTTTCTTTTTGTTTAAAAAATTTTGCAGACAAATTTGATGAAAATCACTCGACAGTTTGTGTATATCACACAAGATTTGATACTTACAAGGATAAAATGAATTTGAATTAAAAAATTGATAAAATGCTGATTTCCAATGCATTGCGAATTTCTTCATTGGATACTTTCTAGGTAATGAAATATATGAGAGTATTCAAATATTACAAGATATCTACGATCGACAACATGTTACGAACATCGCAGTGGCAAATGATTGGGTCGCTGAGAAAGTAACCATTCGTGAATCACATCATGCACCGTACCGCTATGTAATGGGAGTAAACCGCGTGAAGGCTCTAGAAGAGGAGAAGGAAAAAGCCAAGGAGGAGACGTATGACGATATGGGAGATGTTTTTATGGAACTTCTACTTTCTGGTGTCTCTTTTTTTTGATTGTTTTGAAGATTTTCGCAAACTGTTCAGTTTTGTGATATACTTTCCACGGAACATTCCAGAATTTAGGGAATAAAATTAATCAAATTTAATAATAGAAATGGAAGGCCTTTCGACCAAAATCAATAAGAAAAAAGTTTTGTCAAGAAAGCAATCTCGATGGATTCTATCAATGACAATTAGCAAAGGCAGTACTCTTGTCCCGAAAGTAACACTTTGTACAGAAAATACAAGTACAGAGATGACTATCGTTGCTACTACTCCAACCGATATGATTATTACTTTTCAGGTACACGGATTTCTGCTTTGTATTACAGTAGGCTTTAAAATAAAGTTTCATTATCAAATTTAAACTATAAAAAGAAAAATTTGGGTGGTGATCGGATTCAAATTAAGATAGTTGACAGCATTCAGCTATGATCAGATTTCACGTTGAAAGATGATTGTTTCAATAGCGCTTCAATTTTTTCGAGTATAATGACCCTTTGACTTGCTTACTCTCTTCCTACTAACTACTTCTATACTTATTTAAAATTCACCTAACTGACTTTATCATTTTCAAAAGTTATCCTTTTATGCAATCGAAATTTTCGTATAGCAGAAAGCAGCAGACATATCAATGATAATCAAAGTGAGAGTTGGCATCGATGATTCACAACGTCTCAACTATATTGCACCAGATAATGTAAAACTTAACGATGAAAATATCATCGAAATACAGAAGGTTTATAATTATTAAATATACTATTTTGTGGGTAACATCTCGTTATATTTGATGATTTTTCAATGTTCCAAACATTTAATTAAGACTCAGTAAATGCCCGGAAAATCTCATTTTTTTCAGATGAAGCTTTACGACTCTGAAAATGGTGATGAACTTCGATTTCCTGCTTTAAATACGATCCTTGCGTCAGAATCGGTTTATGAATTCCCGGCTATCTGGCCAGATATCCCACCTATTTCAAGTAAGTTGCATATAAAACTCCTGCAAACTCAAGTAAATTGCTTGAGTCATATATAAAATTTTTTCCCCTGATTGGATTTGTTATTTTTACGAAATTTCTCAAAGTTTATGAACTTCGAAACTTATATTTTCCTTTATATTTTGTGCCTACCAATTCGGAAAGTTTTCAAGTTCTTCCATCCAACACAAAATGTTTATATTTAGTTTTTTGCTTTAGACTACCAGGATTAAAAGGGAAATTTCTTTTGTTGCAGACGTCGTTTATATAATAACTGTAAATTCTGGCGAATCAAGTGCAGATTTTGATGTTTATCTGACATTAAGCGGAACAAGAGGCGACACAGGTTTGCGAAAGCTGATCAACGATGACACTGACCCGTTTCACGAGAAGAAAGTTTGTTAAACTTAAGTTTTAAAATCGTCTAGTGATTTCCCTTTTTCCTCCCCCAATTTAATTTTTTCCCTTTAATCAATTAATGTGTTAGTGCTTACTGACTTAATGATTTGCAGATGAGTACATTTGAAGTGGATGCTGTTTCTATAGGCGAACCTCTGACCACTGCAATTACAATAAGGAATGGAAAGGTAGGCTTCACGTTCTTTTCATTATTTGTAATTGTTAGATCTCTTCAAGCCAAATTTGGCCCAGGCTCTTGTTTGCGTTTTTTTTGATATGCTGAGAATACACGTAGTGCACGCTAACATGGATTGCACGTTTCTATTTTCCAACCTGCGTATGTTTTATCCATGGAGATTACTGTGTGCATTATTTTTACTTTCCTAATGCCATTGGATCAAATCGTTGTTTTCATCCATTGCTTGAATACTTATTTCTATTGTCCATCCATTTCCATTCTCATAAATCGATAGATTCAATCAAATTTTAATGAGATATGAAACCCTTGTTGTAGAAAAAATAGAATGAAATGATTATTGATAGTGATCTGGACCTTACATCAGCTTTACTCCAAACTCCTCAAATTCAATATCAGATCAACTGAAATTGTGGTTGCATTCCAATTTTATTGGACTACAGAAAGAGACATTGCTAATTAAACAAATGATTAATGACTAAGAGATGCAAAATCTAAATTATAGAGTTTTGAAGATCTTTTTTTTTCAGAATTTGGTTAATCTTTTGTAAAACTAGTATATTTCAGCGGGGTTTCAAATGGAAATGCGAGCAGATGCATGTCCTTGACAGCGAGACAAATCTCTTCTATATATTCAAATTTAGCGAGTCAGTTCATTATTTTAAGATTATTTTAAGAAATCATATTCCTCAGTTTATGTAAAAGACATAATAGCACGAAGCGGTTTTATGCGAAAGAAAGGATTTCGAAAGACGAAGATGATAGTTGGAAGTTCAGTATGTAATTTTCATTTTTTTCAGGATGTTCACGGAGGAATTAAAGTGCCAACAAGTAAATGCTTCTCGATTGACAGACGCTTTATGAAAAAGACACATACGCGTAATTCTGCTCAGCAAAATGTCGCATAGCTCATGACTTATTATAAACAATCGTAAAATAACCAATGTGCCTCAATTTTTGCTTTATTCTCATTGGTTCAAAAATTTTGGCAGTTTGTCTTTTTCAAAAAATATGATTTTTTGCTAAACAGAAATTACTTTGTTTCCTGTAATTGAACAGGTGAGTAGATTGATATTCTAAATATTGTTAGTATATGGGAAAGCAGTCATTGTTATTATTAGTGTCTAGCTAGGAAATAGACGGCAGTGGTACAGGTGATTCTAGAAATAATATTTCTGGAATGTAGTTTTTCTAACAATGCTCTTAAGCACTTAGTTTTGGGAAGGGGAATGGAACTTCAAATCAGCATTCCTGACACTTCAATTAAACTCAATCTGATACTGACCTTAGAGATGAAAACTGAATAACGTAATTATGAGCTATTTGAGCTCACATTGAAACACCATATTTCAGTCAGTCTTCGATACAAAACTTGATTTATATTTAAAAACTGCTGAAATTATTGAATTTTCAAATAATACGCAGTGAAAGAAGAATCAGTCAACGTCGAAAAAGCATCGTACAAGAAGTGTTATCAAATTGATAGGGTAATAGTAAATCAGAGTCCCATTTTTCCGGATGGGAAGTGCTAAGCGCTTCGTCCTTCCGTTCCTGAAAAAGAATCATTTGCTGCTATTATTTTAATTATTTAAATGAAATTTCAGTGCAGTGGAAAATCTTCAGTGGAAATTGAGGTAAAACTTGCTTCATGAATGATGGATTTTCATTAATTCAAAGAGATATATCACAACAAAACTAACTGCTCGTTTATAAAATTCAACTCTGAAAAGCGATCCCGCATAAAAAATTGTGCATTATTTTGTCCATCATTGCATGCACAAATTTGACTTATACAAATTTTTTCAGAAATTCCAGTTGACATTTTTCTCTTGGGAGCAGGACACAGAGAATGAAACTAATTGCCAATCTCAAATCCTTCTTCTGTTCTGCTTTGGATTCAAGTGATTTAAAAATATTATGCAATTGACGATAGAAAAGACTTTGGCAATGATTCAAACTTGGACATATAATGGAATTCGAAAGAAGCAAATCGGTCATGAAGAGCTGAAAATATTTTCCTTCAAAGATATTTGTTGTAAAGATTTCGAGTAAACAGGTGCAAAAACTCAAGGTCAGATTTGAAATATGTCGGGAATAATAGATAACGCAAAGTTGTGCAAGGAGGGCTGGGAGTTTGGATTTATGGTTTCTAAGGTTTCATAAACATCTTGTTGACTATGCCACTACAGTTTTCCATACAAACATCACTGAAAATGGGAAGGAAATCTTAAATAATCATAAAAGAGAAGATACTGGAACATTTAATCAAAGATTTTGGCTAATTAATTATAGTAATAGTGTGTCATGTAATGCAGTACTGTAATTGTGTAATTATGTTGTTATACGTGTTGACCATTAGTAGTGCACGACAATCAGTAATTGTAGTCACGAAGATGAGGGTGAGATTTTTGTTTAAGAAAGCGACAAATCCTGCTCTACAATGCATAGCTGAAGAACTGGATGGGGTGGGAAGGTCATGCGTCATGGACGCTTCTTTCATCTGACATGTGCATATGGGAATAGAAAAGTGCGAATTAAGGATTCAATCATAAGGCGTCCAGTTTTTTATCCAATTCTATTCAAAAAAATATAAAGATTGCTTTAAAAGATGAGTGCAACGGGTGATCCAACAGGACATGCGAGTAACGGATGACAGAGAAGAAGCAATTGAAGAAGGGCACACAAAATGATCTAGGCTCTTTTCCAGTTTTAAAGTGGTCATGTTATGAGGATAGCTCAGATGAAGGGACAAAGAAAAGAAAAACAAGAGGTTTTTCCATAACTTTAAATGCGTACTGGCATCTATTCCTTCTAGCTTAAGGCTTTTTGCCTTCGTCTTCACTAACTGTTGAAGTTAGCCGAAGTGAGAGTAAAAGCCTTTTATTGATATCTGAATACAACGTACGCTGTACTCACTATAACTTCCTGAACCATTGACTTATTTTATTTGCTCTTTGCAAGAGCTTTAGTCCTCATTTTACTGGAATATTTCCAATTGCACATATTGGTGGTATGTGACATCACTATAAATACGATTTGGCGAACTAAAATGAGTTCATTTCTGTAAGAAGGACTATTGTCAGTGAGTCCTTCTGTAAGAAGGGATGAAGTTGCTGTTACCATTTTCAGATACTGATTCCAGCAATTTTTGGCGCTGTTTGAGGACGCCTCGAATTGTTTCCACTGATTCCAATTTTCGCAATTTTAAACAGGAAGATGACTTCACCCAAATATTAGACTTCTAACTATCAAAGTGCTCATCTCTATTTATTCGCTTCTGACTTTGTAAATGATATGTGTACCTTTTGTTTGTAGTAACATATCTGTCAAAGTTAAATAATGATGTATAATTTTTATGACAACAATGGTGCATTTGCAATTGATGACAAATTCATTCATTTAATGCAGTTGAATTGGCTTAATTTCGATTGATCAGAAATCGATTACCCAACTGTTTAATGAATGAAATGAATAAACAATAGGGCTAAACTGCTTTTATATTCCTAGAAGAAATGATGGGAAGTATGGAACTGAGAAGAGATGTGAGTGAAAATGAGCGGGTTGTGAATGAATGTGACATGTCCTGCAATACAAATTAGCTTTTTATTTACTTCTTATCAATATTTTGAGCTTCTCCTTCATCTGTCTAAATGTGTGTGTGCATATATATATATATATATATATATATATATATATAT